TCCTTTATGTCAAGGATTCTGAACCTGGGGTCCACAGACTTGTTCTTTTTTTAGATATGTGGATAACTCCATTTCAATATAATTAGTTTCTTTGGTATCCAATATATTTTATTTCATATATTTAAAGACATTCTGAGAAGGGGTCCATAGGCATCATCAGACTGGCACCAAAGGGGCCTGTAACACCAGAAATGTTAAGAATCCCTGATCTAGAAAGTCTTTGGCCTTACAGTTCAGTTCTAATGTGATTCCTTGCTTCTTTTTTCCCTCATTCACAGGTGAACTCTTTTGAGTTCAAAGTAACTGCCCAGTATCTAATTATATCCAATTAAGTGGTTTGGAAGGACAGGTTTGGCTCCTGAATCCCAAGACTCCAGCTTTAATCAATGATTTGTACTAGAACGTAACATTTTTCCAATGTTCTGTCTCTCTGAGGATTGTAACTACCATCCCTCCCATCCTGGACCCCCTCTCCACCCCAAGGTGTGAAAAATAGATAGCTAGGGAGACAGACAATGTCTGAATTCATTTCTAGCTAGACCTTAAAAAAGAGGTTATGGGATTCCTGAAAAGGAAAGAATTGCCCCTTCTTCTCATTTTCCTTTCAAGTTGTCACTGGAAAGTTTTCTTCCCCTATTCAATCTCTCCAAACATCTTTCCAGCACCCCAGGAAGGGTCAAGTCACACTTCTCCTCCAAAAGCCAGGTGCCCCCTGCTGGTCGATTTCAATTTGCTCCCCAGGACGTGAGCCTTTCCATTCCTGCTAGCCTACAGGTTCTACTTCACCCAGGGAAGCTGCCCACTAGCCACAGATCTCAGGGATTTGTCAGATCTGCACACCTCAGGTCTGTCCGATCAGGCCAGCCTAGCCTGACCATGTATACCATGCTGCTCGCTATTCCCCACTGTATTTTCAGTTCTCTGCAAGCACTAATTTTAAGTTTCTGAAGTTCAAATTTTGACTGCCCAGAAATAGATCTCTCATTTATAATGTTGTTTCACTAAAGAAGTAATGATTTTGTGTAACCACCTTAGCATCAGGTAGGACAAGTCTGTAAGGATATTGAAATTATACTATAAGTATAAAAAATATGCAAATTCTAGGCTGAAGCAAAGACTATATTTTTAACTATGCAACTGATTAAAAAAAACCTTTAGGTAAATTTATGCCTGAAGCAAATGTTGACTCATAACCATATTTAAACTTACTCTGTTGATTAAAAGGGAAAGACAAATTTAAAAAAATACCTTTTTCTGATTTCATTTTCTCTTGTAAATAAAACAAACAGATCAGAGAAAAACTTTTACAAAGAGGCATAAGTAGAAGGGGAAAAATCATGGGGTAAGAAAGAGAGAGTATAAAAGTGTGATACGGTGCTCACATGAGTCTATAGTCTTACTGATTTGAGTGTACCCTCAAATGCCCCAGTGGATCAGTGCTCTCATTAATTTGGTTGTGCCCTTCAGTGATGCAGGTTGCAATCCATCCATACCTTTCTATCTGTCCTATGTGATTCATATCTATCTCCCCATAAGTTAGCCACAAGGAATCCACCCGACATGCTGGAGGCCTCTCTCACTTCTACCTGACATTGTGAGGATAGCAGTAGAACGCTCAGGCTGTCCATCTGTCCTTGATATAGGATGAGCTCATCTTTTTTCTATCATGCATGCTCTGTTACTACTACACAAAAATAACTTGACAAACATTCATTCTTTCACTTCTAGAAGGAGAAAGTTGGACCAAATGAACCCTGAGATTAGAGTTCTATGAGTATTTCTGTGTTGTACTAGTAATTGTGATATCTCAGAAGGAGGCCTTAGAAAACATCAAATCCAAACCTCTCTGTAGACAAGGAAAAAGACTCAAAGATTTGCCCAGCGTGCCCAAGCCAGTGTGTGGTAGAGCCAAGACAAGAGCCCCTATCCGCTAACTCCCAGGCCTTTGATCTTTCCAGACCATCACACCACCATATTTGTAACCATGTACCCTAGAGTAAACGTCCTATAGGTTTGTATCTTAATGCTTAGTAAATCTGAATTCAGAGTCAAATGAAGTATTATCCTGTTTATTTACATTGGTTTAAAATAATTTTGATTCCTATCTAAATATTTGCCTTCCAACTGGAAAAGATGCTTTTAAAATTGCATTCCACCATCACCAGTAGCAAAAAAGAAACACTAGTTAGACTCCGCATGTACTCATAAACCTCACAGGTGGAAATTTTCAGCCCTTGCAAAACCCGGAAATTTGTAAACAATGTGCCTGGCAATTGAGCTATTAAAAATATTTTATAACCTATAGTTCATTAATGTTGACTCAAAACAAACTGTCACTGCTGACAGAAAAAGCTGACAATTCTCCCATTCCAAATTGGCCCAGCCCTGGCTGACCTTGTTTACACATCTCTGTCTTTTAATTTATAGTAGCTTGGCATAAGATGAGAGTATGTGGCATATGTGCAGAAGGCCCTTTTCTGCATCTTCAACTGAAATAAACGTAGTAGTACAGTGAGTACTTCCAGTTTACTGAGCTCTTAGGTAGATTTATATGTATTAGAGAGAACTGGTTAAGTTCCTTTTATCCCCACTGGGCTTTTTGTGTTTGTTGACTATAAAACTATAAGCTAAACAGCCACATCTTTTTATAAACCTTGGTATATGTCTAAAATCCTCCCAGCATTGGCCTATTTTAAAGACACATTCAAAGAGGATGGACAACATAAGCTCTTTTAGAACATGAAAATAGAAGGGTTTCGGCAATTTGGCTGCCAAAAAAGCAGTTTACCGTCCTCCGATGAATCCATAGCCACATGTGAGAAAGCTGATCAAGATACTACTGGTCTGATAATGGGGCTAAAGAGCAAAAAGAATCTCTCTCTTCGGCCTAATCTGGTCTCCAATGAAGTTTCTTGGTTTCTTTTTCTGAGCCAATAAAGCTTAAAGCAAAGGAGTACTTGCATTTATTGTGGCTTTAATATGGCTCAAGGAAAGCGGATGAGGAAAAATGTTGCTTTATGGATTCTCAGCTGCCTGAATAACCTTCACTCTGCTGGGACGAGAAAGAAAAGTATTCAGGAAAATCCAGATCCCCCTCTAGCTTTTTTACATTTTCAGACATAAGAGTTTTTGTTTGGAATCTTATGTTACATTTGCAAAGCTTCCTTATCATAGGATCAAAAAATAAGCCAAAATTATTATCCATTGATTTCAAATCACTAGATCACAACCTATAAATGTACCTCTTTTTGTCCCCCTAGAGTTCAATATATTAAAAGTTAAACTAAATATTCAATAAATGTAGCTCAGTATACAAAGATGCCATGAAAGCTCAACCATTTAGATGGTATAAAATTTAAATCACTGTTCTGATTTAATTATGCAAAATTCAAAGGGACTATAAAAGCTCTATGTTAGAACAGTTTAAATCAGCACTGCTTCTTATACCCATCCCAGCTTTTCCATTCCCAATACCATCCACGATCTCAGTCTCTACTATATTAACACTTGGATGGACTTTTGCAATATCCACTTGACTTTATGGTTCCCTGCAATTCATCTTTCTGCCAGATTCATCTTTCCAAGGCCCAGATCTAATCATCAAAAACCTTTGGTGGCCTGCAAGTTCAGACCCCCTAACTGAGAGATTGCTTATGTTTTCTTTGTCATGGACCCCTTTGGTAGTCTAGTGAAACCTATGGACCTTTTCTCAACATGATATTTTCAAATGCATAAAATAAATATAATTATAAAGGAAACCAATTACATTCATACTTGGTTATCAAAATATTTAAAAATCAGATTCACAGATCTCAGATTAAGCCTTAGCTTGATATTCAAAGCATTTTTTTGAGGCAAAATCTGGCTCCAACTTGCCTTTGAAGTCTTATTTGTGCTGTTTGCCATCCTATGTTCTACCCAACTATGATTTCACAACTACGGCAGTAAGTCAACAAGCAGAAAAGCCTCTGTTCCCTCTGCTTATGATGCTCTCCCGTCTCATTTCAACCTACTTCAATGTTCCGACCCATCCTTTAAGACTCAAATGATCCAATTGCCACCCCTTCCATGTAGTCTTCCCCGATTGCCCTTAGCCAGAAGACGTTTTTCCTTGGGACTTTCATAGCAGTATCTTTGTACCTTTCTTACATATTGTTTTCTATCTTATATTAGAATTATTCATGTACATTACTTATCTCCCTTCCTAGATTTAGATTGTATGCTCCATGAGGGCAAGGGCTATGGGATTTTTTTCATCATATTTTCCATCAGTTCCTAGCACAATATTTTCCATATACTGGACACTTACTAAATGTTTGTTAAAGGAAGGAATGACATAATCTCTTACCATAGGAGAGAAAAATTAGGAAAGTCATAGGGAAGTGATAGTAAACTTCTAACTTGAAAAGAGTATTATATAAACACAAAAATTAAATATAAGTATTTCCATGTATACTGTTTCATGTACTTGATGATAGTTCCTTTCAAATAGTTATGCATAGCCATTGATTAAAAAGTAAGAAGAGATTTCAGATGAACAAAATTAAAAAGAATGCTTAAAATACACCCCCTGAACTGTGGGCTGGGAGAATTTTAGTGAAAGACAAAGGCTAAAAACATAACTTGTATTGTCCGTCTTAACTGTGGAAAACATTGGTACCCACATTGTTTTCTTGCTTCTCCACTGTCTGACTGAGGACTGTTCCTGAGAACCAATTCCATACAAAATATTCCATTTGTATACATTAAATCTAGTTGGTATTCAGAATGCTCAATTAAATAAAAATCTTAATAAGGTGAAGGATGAAGATTTCATACCATGTTTTGACTGAAAATAATTCAATGATGGATAATTGTAATGGGAAGGTGTTTCATGAAAAAAAGACATTACATAAAAAGTACTGCAGTGGTTTGAAAAGTATTTTAGTCTTGTTGACTATTTGAGAAAGGTTAAAAAATGTTTTCTAACCACCATGTCTCTGTTTTTCTCCTGCCACAAGACCTAAATACAACAAAGAGAGTAAATTTGAGGGCAACAACACTGCATCCTTGATGGAAAAGACTTTAGCTTGGAATTCAGAAGGTAAGGATGATCATTGTCATAGCCAAAATATATAACTTAAAGGAGAATAGACATTGTGAAGGAGCTTTCCAATCAAAGGAGTAAAAGTAAACTCAGTCTGAACTGTCTCCACTAATATCAATCGAACTTCACAACTGATTAGATGGGGGGTAGGGAAGATTGTTTGAAGGAAAGAAGTGATGTGATCAAAGAATTCAGGTTTGGGTAAATGGTTAAGCCATTGACATAAAAAGGTAAGTAGGGAAGAGGATCAGGTTTTGAGTGAAAGTTCGTCATTCAGTTTTAGACGTGTTGAATTTGTGATACAAGTAGGACGTTCAGGCAGAGATATCCAGTGGGCAGGAATTAACATGAGTCTAGAGCCAAGGAAAGAAGTTGGGACTAAAGACAAAAATGAGAATCATCTCGTAAGCCTTCAAAGCGGATACCTTTTTCATACTCTGGTATTTCAAAAGAGGCCTGATTTCATCACTGTGCTAAGTCCTTAATTGAGGTCACAATTTTTCCATTGTTTGTGATTTGCTGTGGTCAAAAAAAATTTTTTTAATTCATCATCTAGTGACCAATATTGTGGTGACAAGCTTCTCTGAACTTCCCTAAATTGGTCTTTGCCAGGCCCATACTCAAAACTTGGCTGGCTCTGTGGGAGCTTCCAGACCTTGAGCTGTGCAGACTACACCTGAAAATTAGTAATGGGACCTTAATGGAGATAACAACAGTAACAACAATAGTTAAATTTATATAGCACTTACTGTGTGATAGGCACTGTGCTAAGCACTTTACAATTATTATCTGATTTGATATTTATAACTCTGGGAGGTAGGTACTATTGTTAGCCCCATTTTATAGATGAAGAAACTGAGGCAAGCAGAAGTTAAGTTACATAGAGAGTAAGTAAGTGTCTGAGGCCAGATTTGGACTCAGGTCTTCCTGACTCCAGGCCCAGCACTCTATCTACCATGCCACCTTATAGCCACACAGAGAATCTATTTTATATTATAGTTATTTGTGTATGTGTGTCTTCTCTCCTAAAGGGCTGAGATAGTGTCATCTTAATCATTGTATCTCCCCTAGCACATGGTTCAGTAATTTGCACAGAATATTTATTTAATAAACATTTACTGAATGAATAAATAGGAAAAAATGGGGTGCCAGCCATTTTGGGGCAATACATACAAGAGAGTGAACAGTAACATAAGTGGACAGGATAGTTGAGATGCAGAGCTGTGGTCAGGTTCAGTCAATCAACTAGCGTTTATAAAGCATCTACTGTATGTCAGGTACCTAGACTGAAAGCCTGGATACCTGGGAACATGGTGGTACCCTTGACAGTAATGGGAAATTAAGAAGAAGGGAGAGTTGTGGGGGGTGGGGAAGAATGAGTTCAGTTTTGGATATTTTTAGTGTAAGATACATAAAGGACATCCAGTTCAAGTTGTTTAATGGACAGTTGGGGATATGAAACTGAAGATGAGGAGGGAAGTTAAGGCTGGACAAGCAGATCTGAGATAGTCATTGAAACTATGGGAGCTGATTCGATTGCCACATGAAATCCTATAGAGGGAGAAGAGGAACCAGAACAGACCCAGGTGGGACACCGTTAGTAGGTATGACATGGATGAAGATTTAGCAAAGGAGACAGAGAAAAATCAGTCAGACTGGTAGAAGAAGAACCATGGAAGGGCAGAGTCACAGATAGTGAAAAGAATGTCAAGGAGGAAAGGATAATTGACAGTGTCTGACATTACAGAACGGTGAAGAATTCTGAAGATTAAGAAAAGGCCATTAGATTGATCAGTTCAGAGATCATTAGTAACTTTGGAGAAAGCAGTTTCAGTTAAATGATGAGGTCAGAAGCCAACTGTAGAGAGTTAAGAACATGAAAAGAAAATAGAAGCATCTGTTGTTGACAGCTTTCTCAAGGAGTTTAGCCACCTAAGGGAAGGGAGATATAGGACAATCACTAGTGGGGGGTGGATGGATCAAGGGAGTGGTTTGTTTTTGTTTTTGTTTTTGTTTTTTGAGTATGGGGAAGACATGGTCATGTTGCCAATTGACTGATTGAAACTAAAGATATGAAAAATCTCGACCTTCATTTTGGCCAAAAAAAAAAAGAGAGAGAGAGAGAGAGACTGAGAGAAAATACTGACTCCTAACTCCTACATCTACTTTCTCATCCATAAGAAATTTTATAAGAATAATCTACATCCACATTGAATTAGAAGGGGAAAATCAAGGCTTCACAAAGAGATATTCTACAGAAAACCACGTCTTTACTATTACACAGATTAGTAAAATAAAGAGAGGATACAAAATCCCATTGTGCTTAATTTATGGTGACTATAAAACAGCATTCCATTTAGTAGAGCAAAATACATTGCCATACATTGGTCTCCCATGCAGATTTCAGAGTCATACAAGATTCCTTGTCTTGACATTGAATGGTTTAGAATATTAAAAATGTGTCTTTAAGAAACTCCAACAATTACTATTAAGAACAATAGTGAACATAAGCAAAATTGATCCAATTGGCAGGCTCCATAGACATGATTTCCCAATAGTTCCTAGTAAAGATTTTTTAAAATCCAGTTAAATTAACATTCGGCAAAAAGCCACTAGGTTGAGAAATGTGTCAATAGTAGGTATAACCTTCATATTTACCAATTATTAATTAATGTTAGCCACAATATAGTGCAGCTGGGTGGTACAATGGATAAAGCTCTGGACTTGGAGTCAGACTTGAGTTCAAATCTTGTGCCAGACACTTACTAGCTGTGTGTCCTTGGGTAAGTTGATTAATCTCTCTTAACCTCAGTTTCCTTATTTGTAGAATACAGATTATAATAACACCTACCCCACAGGGTTTGTTAAAGACACATTTTATATTCTAAATTAAACCATTATCTTGGAAACAAAAATATCAAGATAAGCATAATGTACAGATATTCTGATCAATAAGAGACATCACCCACAACACCCATGAGAATCTACGTGGTAGAAATTCATCAAATGTTGTCATATGTTGATAAAATTTCATCTGTTATATTGTGTCTTAGATATAACTTTCTCTAAGGCTGTTCAGCATTTCAATTTATTCAGGATGCAATTATTTTTAAGAATTGCTGTGCTTTACAATAAATAAATTGAAATTTATGCTAATAATCTAAAAAGTTTTTTTTTTTTACTGAGTTCCAGTACAATGTTACAGAATTAAATTCCAGTAATCTCTTCTTTTTAAAGGAGAACTAGGAGAAGACTACACAGAGCAGGTAACACATTTTTCATTTAATATTTATAAGATATTTAAGGCTCACTTAAAAAACAAAGAGCAGTGTTTGATGTCCCACCTAGGTTACTATGTTTTAAGATCATTATGTTGAAGGGCAGCTAGGTGGTGCAGTGGCTAGAGTACTGGCCCTGAAGTGAGGAGGACCTGAGTTCAAATCTGGCCTCAGACCAAACACTTGACACTCACTAGCTGTGTGACCCTGGGCAAGTCACTTAACCCCAATTGCCTATAAAAAAAAAGAGAGATTATTATTTTGAAGCTCTAGAAAGCTGAACTTGTGCACAGAAGAGTATAAAAAACAGCCTCCTGGATCAGACAGAGATATCAAAGGTCAGTTTGGGGAAAGGCATGATTTCTTTTCATGATATCAATCTCAAAAGTTTAGCAATATTTTGTGAAACATGGCTCTCCAGCTGCTCTCCTGATGATGACCCATGATTTTTCTGTGAGATCATCTAAATTATGTTGCAGTGTTTAACAGAACTAAAGGATTTTATCCCAAAAGCTATTTTTAATTTAATCTCTCAAACTTCCTTCTTCTTCTTTCTTCTCCTTCTTCTTTCTTCTTATTTTCTTCCTCTTCTCCTCCTCCTCTTCCTCTTCTTCTTCCTCTTTTTTTCTTTTTCTCCTTCTTTTCTCTCTCTCTCTCTCTCCCTCTCTCCCCCCCCATACCCATCTTCCAGCTTTTCCCTAATTACCTACAAACATACTTGCATGTTGTTTTTTAAAGGACATAGTGAGGAATTAGAGAGACAGTATGGTACAAAAAGATAAGTCCAAACAAACTTTGTATGGCTGTGTATCACAGAATCACAGAATCTAAGAGGTTGAGTGTCCATCTCGTTCAATCAATACAGAGAAGGCATTGCCCACTATTACATGCCTGACAATAGGAGGCCTGTGCTGTAAGTGTGTTTCCTCCTGCGCTTCTTCGGGATTGGTCCAGAGCAACTCCCCCTCTCCAGTGGCCTACTACAGCTCTAATTGTTAGAAAGTTTTTCTTGACATGGAATGTAACTTGGCTTCCTTACAACGTCCCCCCTATTGCTCTCTAGGTTATGCCCTTTAGGGAGAAACCAAACAGTTCCAGCCCCTTCTTCACGTGACAGACCCCCAAATGCTAGAACGCAGCCATCATGTTCTCCCTGGTATTCTCTTCTCCAGGCTAAGCCTGCCTAGAGCTCTTTCAGCTGATCCCAATATGACATAAACTCAACGTTTCACTACCTTGGTTGCTCTTCTCTGGATACGCTAAACCAATCAATGACAACTGATCAATGACTTCTTTATACCTGATGTCTGAACACAGTACTCGAAATGAGGTCTGACAGGGGCAGAGCACAGTAGGACTATGTCTCCCCTGTTAATACAGCTGAAGATTGTATTAGCTCTTTTGGCTGCCACGTTACATTGCTGACTTATCTTGGGTTGGATTTCACTAAAACCTCCAGACCTTTTTCAAAGCACCTGCTGTCTGTCTATCTAGGCTTTCCCTATCTTGTCCTTGTGAAGTTGATCTTTTTACTCCAAGTACCTCATTTATCCCTAATGAATTTCATAAAATGGTCTAGATCCGAAAGAAACCTCAGAGAACACTGAGTCCAGGGCTCCTTAGCCTGTTTCTGTGGTGGAGCGACAAGCTGATGAAGTCCATGGGCCCCTCCCCAAAATGATGTTTTTGAATGTACGACATAAAATACATAGGAGTACTAAGATAACCAATTATAGTGAAATCTTATTTGAGCCTCGAAATAACTCTGTGAGGTAGGTGCTATTATTATCCGCATTTTACAGATGAGGAAACTGAGACAGAGAAGTTAAGTGACTTGCCTGGGGTCACACAGCTAGTAGTGTTTGAGGCATAATTGAATTCTGGTCTTCTTGACTCTGTCAGGCTCTATTTAATATGCCTCCTAGCTGCCGAATGAGTGCTGTTCACCCATCTCAGTCATACCTGACTCTTCATGACCCCATTTAGGGTTTTCTTGGCAGAGATACTGAAATGGTTTGCCATTTCCTTCTCCAGCTCATTTGACAGATGAGAAAACTGAGGCAAACAGGGTTAAGTGACTTGCCCAAGGGCACACAGCTGGTAGGTGTCTGAGGTTAGATTTGAACTCAGAAACATATCTTCCTAACTCTAGGCCTAGCACTCTGCCCACTGTGCCACCTAGTTAAAAGAATAAAGATGATTTAGAATGACTTAGAGAAGAACAAATATGTAAAGATAATTTATTTTGTCTTAATCTTAAACTGTTTTCAATCACTGCTTAATATAAACCTATTCTTCCCCTCAGGCCTGGACAGGGCATTACTATTAGACTCTAAACAAATTGTTCAAGATGATTAAAAGTCTTTTGGAGGCATATACAAAGGCCAAGCTCTAGGCACTTTGGGTGCTCCAAAGTGCATCTATATATCACATAATGTAAATCATTTCTATGTTATTTGTTCTCTAATTTTCACAACTAGGTAATTTCCAAAGAATGACAAATTCCGTTTGTTAGTAATTCTGGTAAAGGCCTGATGGCATGACTCTTCATCAGCTGTTAGCACTTCAAAATGATCTTTGTCAAAACTGGAAAACTGTTGTCATGTTTACTCTTTACCCTGGGACCGTTGGCTTTTAATACTTTTTTAATGTGTTAAAAGCTCCCAGTAAGAACAGCAAGGCTCTAACTAACTGCAAAGATACAACAAACTGCAAATCTAACTACCACCAACTCCAACACTACTTAGATAATGGGTAAAGATATTAGTCAGTTGACGTACATTATCCATGGCATCATTCCATTCCACGTACTCCTGTCAAACTTGATAACTCTTGCCGCCTCAACCAACCTCTCTCCACCCGGCCAAAACATAAATAACTATGCTCTGAGAATTCCCACCTTGTTCATTACCTTTTTTATGCTGATCCCTTTGTCTACAAACTCCTCATTCACCCTCATACCTGTTGAATTCCAACACATTCATTAAAGCGGGCAAGGATAGCTAACACAGCAGATAAGATTCAGGATCCAAAAAAGATCTTAGTAGTCTACAACTAGATCAAATCTTATAGGATATCATTTCCCAGGGATAAAATTAAAGTCTTACATTTGGATTCAAAAAATCAACTTCAGAAGCACAAGGTAGGGGCTAGGTAACTAAATAAATATCTGTTCATCAGAAAAAAAAGAACTGGGTGTTCAATTGACTCAATATGAGTAAGGGACCATATGCAGAACAGGAGAGGAGAACAGTTGTGTTTTACTCTAGCCTAGCCAGACCACATCTGAAATAGGGTTTTTGGTCCTAGAAAGCACATTTTAGGAAGGACCGGATAAGAAGAAGAAGAAGAAGAAGAAGAAGACGTTGGAGAGGAGATTTCTGTCCGTCTATGGAATTGGAGGATCTCTGAGCTTCCATCTAACTCTGAGACTCTGTGAAATGCTCCCTTCTACATGACGCTTTTCTACACCACGATCTACACCACCTTCCACATGGCACAAGCTCACAGAATCACAGAAGTTGCCCAGTCCAAGCCAGACTTGAACAAGAACGTCTTCTGCATGACACCTGGCAACAAGGGCTGAGCCTGGTGCCATTTAACATTTGTACAGAATGTTTATTTGTCTAGAATAATCACTTTCATTTTTGTATTCCTAGTTGATGCTCACAGCATCCAAGTCTTCCTGACTTCCTTCGTGAAGAAAATATTCATCATGTATAGACATGAGGCTTCCTGTACAGTCTAAAAATCTTTGGCTTCCCATCTCTGACTTACTGAGCCCTGTTTTCCAACGTGTTTTTCACTGTCTTCACCCAAGCTCATCTTTGCCCACTATGTCTGTCAGTGCATAAGAGAAACAATAGTGCAATAGTACAGTCGAGTAAATTAGAACCAGTTGGATAATTGGCCCCAAAAAGAAGTCATTAACAATTAATCTAAATATAGAAATAGGCCTCCGGTGGATCCCCAGAGAGCTGTACTGTTCGACATTGGTATTAGAGAATTGAATAAAGCATGGCTCACTCATCATGGTATAGTCATCGCATTTGCAGATGACTTGAAGCTGGGAGGGATAAGATTACAGAGTCAGAATCCAAAAAGATCTTGCCAGGCCCAATCTAATAAGGTGAAATATGACAGGGATAAAAATGTAAATCTTGTACTCGGGCTCATAAAAATCTGCAAGTACAAGGAGGGAGGAGAAGATGACTAGATAGAAGTTTGGGGGAAAAAAATCCAGGGTCTTGTGGGTTTAGGTTTTGTTTTGTTTTTTTAAGCAGACTACAAGGTCGAGGTGATAGGACCACCAGAAAAGCATACGTGACCTTAAGCTGCATGAAAAGAGTCATAGCTTCTAGAAATAAAAAGGTGAGAGAAGATCCAACTACATCTGGAGTGTGATGTTCAGTGCTGGGAGGACCCTGATAAACTGGAGCAATGGTGTCAAACTCAAATCGAAACAGATGCCTGTAGCTGCATATTGGCTTTTTTCATTGTTGTTCACTCATGTTAGACTCTTCATGACACCATTTGGGGTTTTCTTGGCAAAGATACTGGAGTGGTTTGCCATTTCCTTCTCCAGCTCATTTGACAGATGAGGAAACCGAGGCAAACAGGATAAAGTGACTTGCCCAGGGTCACACAGCTCGGAGGTGTCTGAGGTCAGATTTGAACTCAAAAAGATGAGTTTTCCTGACTCCAAGGCCCAGTGCACTCTCTACTGCACCACCTAGCTGCATATTGACTTAGAAAACTACAAATTAACATTATCTAAGGCGTGTTATATTTTTATTTATTTTGTTAAACATTTCCCAATTTCATCTTAACCTGGTTTGGGTTGCTTTCTGGGTGTTTTGCATCTAGGCCTCGAGTCTGGCCCCTCTGCTCTAGCAGAGGATATCCAGAGGAAGGTAATCAGGAAAGCCAGGATAGCCAGAGATCAGAGATCTAGAACTGGCGCCTCAGGTAATTTAGTTCAACCTCATGGTTTTATAAGCGGATTTGTGCAAAGGTCTGATCAAAGATAAGATTTAGACCCTCGTCCTCTGACTCTTGATTCAGTGCCTCGTCCACCACAGCTCCTCCTTGGTGAAAGGCCTCCATTTCATGCCAAATGAGGACCGTGGGAAGGAATTGGAGAGATTTAGCCTGGAAAAGGGGGTGGGACAGCAGGAAGCGATAGCCATGTTGAAAAGCTGTCATGTGGAAGAGAGAATAGTCTGGATCTGCTTGATTGAAGAGAGGAGAGAACCAGAAGCAATAGGTAGGAGCAGCCAATTTAGACTTGAAGGCGGGAAAAACTTCCTAACAACCAGAGCTGACCAAGAGTGGCACGGGCCATCTCGGGTGACGGTGAGTTCCCCCTCATCGAAGTCTGCGAGGAAAGCACAGATGCCTGTTTGTAAGACTTTTTTTCAAGTGTGCATTGGACCAGATGTCTCCCAAGGTCCCTTCCAACACTGAAATTCTGTGATTACTTCACAATTGTGAGGAAAACCATGTAAACTAAAAAACAACTTGTAAATACAAGCAATTACTAAAATTCTCTGTTAGCCATATTTATACTTCAATGGGAAAACATCCATAGAGCTACAAAAAAAGGAAATCTAATTTATGATACTGCCCATTAGGATGTAAACTTCTTGAAAGAAAGAATGCTTTCATTCTTTGTTTTTGTATCCCCAGCACCTAGCAGAATGATTTGGACATAGCAGGCACTCATTAAATGCTGGTTGATTGATGTTGAGATAATCATTTGAAATAACAAAGGAAATTATCATCTAAAATTGTTAATAGTAGAAAGATTATCAGGCTAAAAGTCAAAAGGCCTGATTTAGGCCAATGATTAGTTGTTTCAATTTAGGCAAATTATTTTTAAAAACTAAAGCTTAAAAAGGCTAGCTATAAAATGAGGATCATACTACTTCCACATATTTCACAGAACCATTGTGAAAATCAAATTGGATAATTCATATAAAGTACTTTTTAACTGTAAAAATGTAGACAAATGCTAGCTATTACACATTAACTAAGTAGTAATTCTAAGAATCAAATTAAAAGCAGACCTTGACTTGTCTGTAGGATTTGCTTACGACAGTTAGGATACACTTTTTAAAAAAATCACAAGGAAAGGTGACCTGGTATCACCCAACATTACGTAACACAATAAAGGTGTGGTTCAGAAAATGCACTAAGATGAATGTAGAAACCAGATGAGGGATTGGGGAAAACCCTTTTGTTGCTTCTGTAAATTACTACAGGAATTAACATGCAGCCTCTTTCAATCAAAGGTGAACACACTTTTTAGCACTTAATGAAATGAAGATCAATCTCCTTCACAGCCACAGCTTCCTACTTTCTAAATAAAATCGCCTACCAAAGTAGGCAAGAAAGATAAAATGAGCGATGGCCAGAACCAATACATGCATACACAAATTCCTTAATCCTGGCTCACATATGCCTGTATAGTCAAAGATGTTTCGTTTTTCTTAGCATCTTTTAAAGATAAATTTTTTTTATCTTGAGGATACTGTCTGAGATCGCCACCCAGCGCTAGCACTGATACTCCCAACATTGGGAAATGCATACCTATGTGCCCGATGGTGTCCAGGTGAAAATATTCAGCTTGGAGTCAGAGGAGATGTGACTTCAAATCCCAGCTCCACAACTCAACTAGCCTCTCTAGGCCTCAGCTTCTTAAATTAAGAGATTAGGCCAGGTGGTCTCTAAAGTCCCACCTAACTCTGGCAGTCTCTAAATTCCTACTGCTATAATCTCATTAACCTTTAGTACGTCCTTTGAGGGAAATAAGGTACAGCCAGGGTGCTTACACACTGGAACAGGAGACTGGGAAAAGTTGTAGAATCTCTTTCTCCTAAGTCTTTAAAAATAGGATTAATCCTCATCTAACTCAAATGGTTTACAGGAAATCCTAAAAAGTGGATGGGGTTGATGACCTTTCATCTGACTATATATTTCTATGATCCCTCTTTATTTAAAAAGAGGGTCCAGAGAAGGATCTGTGTAACTAGCAGCAAAGACTATAGTAATTCAAGAGAATGGTTAAATCATGGAATCAAAGGGTATGGAAAGTCTGGGCACACAAAAGCAATCATTCTCAGCAACCTTGGGCAAATTAAGCAACTGTCACTAATATAATTCAACAAAGCAGTGATAAGAGAGTTAAAACTTAACAGAATCTACAACTTCTCATGACTACTGTAAGATCATGCAAAGTACATTTTAACATAGTAGTTCGCAGGCCAAGAGATGGAATTGGTGCTTTGGAAAAAATGTTAGTACTTACAATGGTTTTTGTGGGTTATTGGGTTTTCTTCTTCTTCTTCTTCTTCTTCTTCTTCTTCTTCTTCTTCTTCTTCTTCTT